AGTCTTTCCTTGATAACACTAAACCAACTCTACACTGTCTGAAGGATTCTATTTTGCAGTTCTCTAATATCCAAGGAAACACCATCAAAAGTCCTCCGATTTCTCTTCAACCATATCTCCCATCAAATGGCCCCTCTAAAAATGTTTCATAATACACCCCCAACTGCTGAAAAACCAACCAATTGGAACTGTGATGACAAGCTGGACAAAAAACGGGGCATAATCAAGGATACTCCCACTAACTTCAACGCCCATTGCCAAATATGCCATGTATATGAAGGGCAAAGTAAAAAGAGAAGAGTACACGTTTCCTCATCGCTCTGACAAAAAAAAAAACATACATTAACCAATAACAAACTCAATATAACATTTTCCTTTGTCATCGTTGTAGAGTGCTTATCCGTAACAGGAAAGGAAGGACTTATTGGGATAGGTTTCTTGGTTTGAGATAGTGTTTTCAAACCTAGATTGATGGGACGGATCATTCACCTACAAATCAGTGTTGGATTAGTGAATTGGGTTTGGATCAGTTTGAATCGGAGATCCACATAAATAATAATAAATAAATAAATAAATAAAATAAAAATAAAAATAGAGGTTTATAGTGCGGTGATTAAAAAGGACCTAAACAAGCATTAGAGAAGCTTAAGAAAAAAAAAAAAAAATTATAAGAGGAGGGCTATACCATGTCAAAATTGGTTCGGTCCTGACCTTCCCATCTGCATCGACAATCCAGATCGAAAATCAACGATTTCTAAAACACTAATTTGGAAAGAGAGGGTCTTCTAAAAAAAATATAAAAATGAATATAAAAAGGTTAATCGAGGAAGTAGATCTTAGAGATGTCAAATAAGGAGAGGATTGCAAAGCCTGGATGACATGTTTGAAATGCTTTCATGGGGGCCAATTTTGAAGATGTCAAAAGCCAAGAGGCAGCCTTGAGGCTTTCCCATTTCTCATACGCGTTTATGAAGGAAACCATTAAAATGCCTATAAAGATGCTTTCCCGTTGCTTTTAGCCATTTAATGAAGGAAAGCAACAAAATGACTCAAAACACATTCGAATGGGATCCCCTTCCAAATCTATCTCACATATGGATTTCGAGTCTAAATATTTTAGAGTTAAAATCTCAACCCCAAGATCATGAGCGGATAAAACAAGGAAAAGTATATAGAGAGACTATTTACTTTTGGTATAAGGTCACAATTATAATTGTCCATCATATTTCAAATCAGGTGGTTATAAGAGTGGCATTGACTAGATTCAAAGTTCTCAAAAAAAAAAAATCCTCAAAAAACTTTATAATACCTTAAGCCATCCAATTTGACGTCTAATGACTGACAGAAATTACAACCTCCTTGTAACAAAAATAAATGGGCTCATAGTATACAATCACTTAAAATAATATGAATTTTGGAAATTAAAATTTGACATTCTTTCTTTTTATTTGCCCGCATGTTTTAAATTAAAATCGATCTGCGTTTAACCAAGTAGGCTTGCTGGTTTCAAGTTTTCCTTTTCATTTGTATTTTTAAAACACCCCGAAGATCCAGTAGAACAATAAAAATAGTTGGGGAAATCCATAAAAACAGCTTAATCAGATTGGAAACCATCTTCATGAACAATGCCTATTAGCTAAAAGTTCAATTCCCAAATTTGTTTGTTAAAGTGACATCAAAAGAAAGGCAAAATGGTGAATAAAATGGTGGAAGGCAGAGGTTTTGGCACAAACTGGAATGAAAAGAGTGTATGAGGATCAAACAAATGGCCCTAACATGACGTGATATTTGTGTAATTTTCAAAAAAAAAAATTGTGATTATTCATTAGAATGAAAAGAGTGTCTATTTTAAAATTTGAATCAAACAAATGGCCCTAACATGGTTTTTAAAGATTATTGCATTATACCATGATACAATCATTGCATGAACTCACTACCCTAGATAAAATTGTCTTTTCTTTCTAATTTAGTTTTTTCCGAATTGATTGATGTCAGTATTGGCCATATGGCAAACTTATAATGGATGTAAGATGTAAATGCATTGATTAGGGGTGGCAATGGACCTGGACCCGACCCATACCCACCGGGTATACTTGACACAGGTCCGTATATGGGTCCAAGTTTTCGACCCGCGGGTAGGGCCCAAGTCCAATAAAGGATACCCGGATAGTCTCGGGTTCAGGTACGGGTCCTGCTATACTCGACCCGACGGGTCATGCTATACCCGACCCAACAGGTCCTGCTATACCCGACGGGTACCCAAACCCGATTTTTGGTTTTACCAAAGGCCAAAGCCCCACCCTTAAAATCGTTTTAATATTTTTCATCTTCCCCTGGTTCCCCAAACGGTCAAACCCAATCGCCATCGTCCATTTCTACACTTCTCCCTCTCTCAATTTCTTGGAAACATAGCTCTCTCTAGATCTCGAATGTATGTCTCTGTCTAATCGCCCACCCCTCAAAAATCAGTTCTCTTGTTCACCATTGTAGGTGATGAAAAAGGAAGCTCATAGTGAGGGCCAGGGCCCGACGAGATAAACCCAGACCCGACGGGTATGGGTATGGGTCCAACTTTTGGACCCGACAGGTCGGGTCCAGGTCCAAAAGTTGGACCCGAATACATTCAGGTCTTGGTCCAGGTCCAACCAGACCCAACCCATACCCGACCCATTGCCACCCCTAGCATTGATCAATAAAAAGAGTTGCTTCTATAAAAAAAAAAATAGTATAATATCAATAGATCATCACAGCCGCCCATTTTTTGAAACGAACTGTCAAATTTTCATGCAGCATCATGTACATTATGCAATCAATCACTGAAATCCAAGAAGAACTTGCACAAAAAACAAGTCTCCCCAAACTCCAAGCATCTCTTTGAAAATTCAAAGCATCTCTTTCAAAATTCAGAGACCAGGGGATTTGTAAAAAAAAAAGCGTACCATGGTAGTTAAAAGTAGGCCAATCAATGGCAACTCCATTTTTTTTTCTTTCTTGTTTTGTTTAATGTCAAAACCACATATGTACTATACCCTTCCCGGAGCACGGGAAATTTTTTATTTTTTTTTAACCGGAAGTTATGGGATCCACCTTCACATCACCTTCTTACAAGAGTTCATAAACACTTACGATCTGATGTCTGAAAATTCTTTGGTCCCTTTTCAATCTTAGCATGTTAATTTCTCGAACATATATATAGCGCGTGCGATCTCTTTTTAGGTTGGGATCCTAAAATTACTTTGTAATATTTCACCCAAGGGGGTCAATGGATGACAACATCTCCAGGATCATACAAAGGGCATACAAAGAGCTATAATCCGGTGCTGATTTTGCTTATGCAGGGTTCTGGGAGGCGGGGTCCTGGGAAGGGTGGGATAGAAACGATCCCAACCTTTGGCTTTTTATAAACCACAGGGTCCTAGGAGGAGTGGGATAGAAACGATCCCAACCTTTGGTTTTTTATAAACCAAGTAACCGCTCTCATGACTCGATCCCAACTTTTGATTTTTTATAAACCAAATAACCGCTCTCATGACTCGAACTCGTGCTCTTACGCTGGCTACCCGAGCTTTTTACTCCCCTCCCCAAGATCATACAAACATGTCAATTCTGAACGGGCACACCGTATAAAATCCAGTCGACTGCATACAAACTTAATCGCACTAAAGGCTTCCAAAAATACCAATCCAGGAGAGGCTAAGACAACCAATGTTGGAATGAGCGACTCTAGTAGTCGAGTCCGAGTAATTCAGGCCGAGTTAGGTCAAATTTTGTCAAAGCCAAAAAAGACGTTACAAAATTAGAAAAAAAAATCCCCCAAAAATATGAATACAAATTTAAAATAAAATTAAAAAAAACATATCTAAATGAGATTAAAAAAATTTGTGAGAAATTAGATTTTGAAAAAATCAATTTACAGCTGTGTATATTTTAGAAATAATCCAAAAATCAATTTGGAGCTGGGTGTATTTTAGAAATAATCCAAAAAGAATGACTAAAATTAACCATCCGTTGATCAAAACACTTTCCAATCCTTTGCTTTATGTAGAAAACACAACAAACTTCTTATAAATAAATTTCTTACTTGCCTTAAATTTTCTTAACATCCCCGCATTGGACATCCAACCCAGGGATACTCGGGCTCACCAACCGTGTTACACAGGTGGGCCCGAGTTGGCTCACCCAAGTAATCGAGGAGACAAAAATACAATAAAAAACAACCAGTTGAGCTATAAAGACATGAGAAGGAAAGAGAGGGATATCAGTTAAAGTCGGCTACAAAGTAAACCAGATGGATGACACAGATACTCCCACCCGCATGCATAGTGCTTAAACAAGGCCAACCAGCCAGACAAGAGGCCCAAGGAAACTAGCTACTCCTCCTGGTGTGCTCAAGTAGGTCTTCAATGGAAGTCATTGATTTAAACAACGCCATCCAGCCAGACCAGAAGAGGCCCATGGAACCTAGCCAGTCTTGATGCGCTCAAAGTGGGTAAAGTGGTCAAAATGAGAAAGACCAGAATGATGGTTCTCAACCTCTTTCAAAAAAAGAAACTTACAAAAAAAAAACAGTTTTTTAATGCATAAAGTATCAGCAGAGCTGGACGGCATGCGGTACACATTGCCGGGTATCAACCATCTTACCTCAATGACAAATGGTCGATATCAATTCTCCCGACCAAGGATGGGCATTACACATTGTCAGGAAAGGGTGGGGGATGGCGGATGCCCGTGCATTGTACCGAATGCCATGCACCACCAGTATACATTATACTTCCTTGGTTAAAGCACCTAACTAGATTTGAGGGGAAAAAGAGAAAAATAAACAAGACAAAATGAACGACTCATTTCCGAATTCATTTGACAACCTTTGCTGCTCCTGCATTGTATTTTTTCAATAAGAAATAGAAGAGACGAAAAAAACCTAGACATCAAAGCTGGCTGCTGGTACCAACTATCAAATGATCAAATCCTAATCCTTTCTAGATTTTTAATCAAAGATAAATAAAAACTAATCCTTCTTGCTAACAAACATAACATATACAGGAAACAGCACCCAAAAGCTAATGAGCTAAGAAACAACAATCTGACTGATTTGGAAACATATGAAACAAGTATGGAACCCTAGTTTTGTCCATTAAGTCAAAGTTCTCACTAGAAACACCAAAAACTCCCCTCCAACCAGAGGAAATCTAACATAGCATGCTCACTTAAATCATAAGGAATTCTAATATGAGCAAAAGGCCCCTTTTATATGGAACGACCCCTCTAGCATACAAACCAAAAACAACTAATGTGTTCAATGCCAGGTAACTTGGAATTAATAGAAAGAGGATCCTATGAACCTGGATGAGCCAGCTCACCTCTCTATGGAGAGGTTAAGGCCTGATCAAGAAGAAGGAGCCTTCTACCTTGCATAAGGATGGTAACGACCAGCCCCACCAGCTCCTCCATAACCTCCCCTACTTCCATATAGGCTGCCTCCACCACCAGCACCTGGACCACCATAGCCTCCCCCTAGGCCTGAGTCATAGCTACTACCATAGCCACCACCACCATAGCCACCACTTCCATAGCCCTCACCAGCTCCACCATATCCCCCTAACATTCCACTCTCATAACCTCTACCGAAGCCTCCACCACCATAACGGCTAGAATAACCAAGCGATGGCTCACCCCTGAATCCACCTAGACCGCTACCACCATAACCACCATAACCACTCCCAAAGTCACTGCCTCCATACCCACCATAGCCCCCGGGCCTAGAGCCGAAGCCTCCACCTGACCTATACGAGCTAGCCCCAAAACCACCACCCCCATAACCACCATACACATCCCCGAACCCACCGATAGGGGGCCTAGACTCATGGCCATACTTGGGTGGTGGTGGATTAGGTTTCTTTGGTTCAGCCTTCTTGATCTCCACCTACAACAAAGTAAAAGAATTAACCTAAACTTTTATTCTCTGAATTCTATCTATACCTGATGTGCCACCTGTCTCAATAAGCAAGTGCACAAAAATGTTTTATCTATAATTCCATGCAAAACTATAATCAAACTAAAAAACTAAAGGAACCTGCTAGATAGAAAAAAGAGGAAAAACAAGAACTATGCCATAAATACGCTATAATAATAGGCATAAGCTAGTTCTAGTAGCAGAGGATGGGTAACCTCAAAATAGACGGAGAAAAACATTTTGACAACCAAACAAAAAAAGAAAGGTTAGCTATTACCCAAAAAATAAATTAATAAAAACAAATATGGTACGGAAATTCCTAATTGCAGTTCTAAAAGCACCAGAACGCATGTGAGCATAGTATGTGCAAGTATATGTTGATGCATCACACACTTAAATGCAAGCATGCCGTGGTGCCACCAATGTTGAGCTCTTATGTAGCACAAAATCATCAAAAAAAAAAACTCTTTGTAAAAAATGGAAAATAAAAATAGAAAAGAAGAAAATGGAAACAAGAGAGAGAGCCCCAATCTCAAAGAATAGGTTATTTCACTTAAACAAATTAAATGTAAATATATACAACCCATCATCTTCCAAAACCTAACTGATGATCTCACCTGGGCTCCTGCCAACTCTATTCTATTTCCCTTAACTAGAAGATCATCAACAGCTTGCTCAGTCTCAAATGTAATAAACCCAAAACCTCGAGAACGGTTAGTAGAGTGGTCACGCATGATTTGGTGCTCCTTGACCTCTCCAAACTTCGAGAAGAAGTCTTTGAACTCATCTGCACAAATTCAGTTGCAAATAACAAATAAGAACTATACATGCAGAACGAAAAGAGATACCACGTCAGAGCATCAACCTCAAGCAATTGAAGATAACTTATATAATAAAGATTTATCGTTACCATCAGTAACAGAAGTGGGAACACCACCAACAAAAATCTTCTTAGTTTTGAAGTCCTTAGAGCCAATAGATCCCTTAGGAATGGTTCGCTTAATTTCCACCTAAAAAGAACGAAAAGTTTTGCCACAGTGAGAAATTACTATGGAAAAAGTTGGATTTGTCAACAGACTATCCCAAGAGAAAGAAAATGAAATTAAATTATTACATATTTACATAGAGTACCTGCTTCCCATTGATAACATGGTTTTCTTGGATTACTTTGTCAACAACAGATGGGTCAGCATAAGTCACAAATCCAAACCCACGGGGCTGTCCAGTTCTTCGATCTTTCATTATCACAGAATCTGTGATCTCCCCATACTTCCCAAAATACTTGGTAAAAGTAGCTAGATAAACACAAAAACAATTGTTTTAAGGGCAAAAACAGAAATCGAAAACACATCCAGCACAAAAGCTCCAAACTGATAGAAAGACAGTCCACACAAACATGTATGTATGAACTCACCTAGAGTTGTTTCCTTTGCAAGACCCCCAATGAAAATCTTTCTGAAAACAAGCAACAAAAACAAATAAGATCTCACTTCCGTGAAGAATATAATCATAAAGCACTAAGGGTACGATAACAGGGAATGGCAGGTACAATAAGGCTTAGCATCGCATGGGGATTGCACTTCAAAATATAACTCAAAATTGACGTGCTTTAGAGATGGAAAATTTGATCCTACTATATAATATATTCCAGCAGCCAATTTCTTATGCTGTCAAACAGTGGCCATGAAACAGGTCACAGGCAGAAAATATTCTTTACATTTTTCAATCGTCTTCCCAGAAAAAGTTAAGAAATAATCTACATGCAGCATATTCACCACAACAAAACACCTCTGAAGTTTCCCTCCATCCAAAATAAGGGGTGTTTTATGCACAAGTGTGGCCAATATGTGTATCCATCAGCCTAGCAACAAATGCCAAATAAAATAGGGGTGCTTAAAAAGCTTCCATAGTGATCAAAACAGCCTCAGTTTTTAAAATATTCCTTTCAACCCAGTTACATGGATAGGGAATCAGAACACCTCATATTTCTTAGCCTTATTTACAACTCGATTTGTAAGGACTCAATCATTAATTTTGGGCACTCTCAATGTTAAAGATTATAGAGCTCCAGCAACATAGGTAACATAAGATCAAGCTGTAATGCAGTATCACAATGTTTTATCGTATATTAGATCATTTATGACTATTTCTTCTATTATGAGACGCGATTTTCTGGGGATTCAACCGCAAAAGAAATTATTTTAGCAAAGGTTGAGTTTTGTATAACGTGCCTGCCTTCTACCATACAGGAAAGGTGCCCCTCTAATTTTGCCAGAAGATGTACTTCCCGTGTCGGAAACCTTACAATAGCTTGAAATTAATGTTTAACCGTAGTTACAAAATTTAAAATTCCAAAAGCGGTGCACATAAAGCAAATTGATAGCTTGAAAATAGATGGTCCATATGTTTAACATTACAATAGCTTGAAATTAATGTTTAACCCCATTTTTAGAACTTTACATTCTTTTTTTTCTTTAAAAATGAAATACCCACTAATAGCAGCCAAATTCATGCATTACCAAATGCAGCCATTCTAAAAGTACACCTCAACTAGTAGTTGATAATAATAGCTCTGATTTTGCCCGAAAGGCACTAAAGATATACAATTATTAGATGCCTCATTAGATTCCTCATAGGATTAGATGCTTTATTAGATGCCAGATGCCATTGACTCCAGTATCTAATAAGCTCTAGCTAATATGCTTCCTATGCCATTGTCTTTAGTTTTGTCTTGATGTAATTATTTTTACTCTAAATACAAAGTTAACCATTTCCTCAAAAAAAAAATCATTGAAACAATGACTCCTGCCCGATGAAAGGAACACTGCAATCACTGAACTCTGTAGGTTATTTATTATTAGAAAAACAAAGGTGTTTTTCTTGCTCAATAGAGCACAACACAAATCTTTGCACAAACTTTTTTCCTGATTTTTCCCATTACTTCTATGTAATCTGGCAATTTTCAGAACAAAACAGGCCGTTTACTATTTTCCCAATCCCATCCATGTTCTATGTAATCTTGCAATTCTATGTTCTTCCGAGTATAATTGATAAAGATTTGTTCTATGTAATCTTGCAATTCTATGTTCTTCCGAGTATGATTGATAAAGATAACTGATCCAGCAGCAGACTCAAACAGCTTCCTATTGGATCAGCTAAGAAAATAATTTTATTTCTGATACAAGTGCAATAACAATGAAAATAACACAAAAGGAATGGCATGGATCAAGAATACAACGACATAAGCTTTCTGATTTACAATCAAATATTTCAGCTAAACAACAACATGGATCTATCGAGACAAAATATCATGAAGAAAAATAAATCCTAGACAGGGAACTCTCATGGAATAGGAATATAATAGAAACCACAGAGAACATGAGATCGAGAAAATAAGCACAAGTTATTCAGAAAACAACAAGAATTGATCAATAGAGAAGAGACAGGTCGTACCCTGGACTTGCACCTTCTCCTGTGTGAGGTTGTGACTTCTCATCGTCCGATTTGACGTCCTCAGCACCTCCATTAGAGGTGGCCTCCTTTGCCTTGGCCTTCACCATGACAGAGAGATAGGAAAGAAACCCTAAGGGAAGACCTTTAGAAAGATATACAACCCTGTATCTAGAGCTTTGAGAGAGATATAAAACAAACCCTAGAGTGTGAGAGAAAAAGGAAACCCCAGAAAGACAGTAGATAAATATAGGAACCCTCCGTTCTCTAAAATAAACAAGAGAAACCCTAATGATATGGCGAGAAAGATGAAACTACTCCCCTTGAAAAGGGCCAGCGCGTTGATATTACATGTTGTGGGCCTGTGGACGCTTGAAGCACCTTTTTTCAATGGCTCAGATTAAACCAAACTCATCCAACGGCCAAAATTGATTTCTATTTCCAATTTTTAACTTTTTATTTAAAAATAATATTATATATTTTAAATTAGCAATATTGATCAAAATAAATTTAGGGGTATTGGGGTTATTTTTATTTAAAATATTTTTTTATATTATATTTATAAAAAAATACAATAAGATCATTTATCTTTGGTACAAAGTGGTCACACTCAATCTTGACCGTTGGATGTAAAGTTGGGTTGTTGCATTTATTCTATTGACCAAACTCAAACTTAAAAAACAAAATCTCAAACTTTCTAATACACCCAAGCTATTAGATTGCACATGGGATGGTTGTAAGTAAATTTGACATCCTTGTACCAAATATAAATAAACTCATTGTGTACAATCCCACTTACACCTAAAAATTAAGATAAATATATTATTGAAATAAAAATAAAATGAAAAAGATGAGACTAATTTTTAACCATTAGATATGGCTTAATTTCAATAAGTGGAAGGGTGATTCCGCCCTTCGAAGTCCAAACTCAAAAGTTCGAAAAAGCTTATATAAAGTTGCAACCTTGTACATTAGAAGTAAGGTGTGCCTTAAAAATCCAGTACAATATAGTATTTTTTTTCCGATTGATCATCTTGACCTTGAGATATATAGATATGAAGAAAAAATAATACAAAATTTAAAAAACATTTCATCTTTAATGTAAACACAAATTATGTTTAATTTATTTGTTTTATATTTTTAAATTTTAGTAAATGTCTTATTTGATATTTTAGCTTTTTAAGGTTTTTGTCATCTTTAGTTGTAGAGATTTTACAAGTAAAATAGTAAATTTAAAAAAAAAACTGCATAAAACCCTCAAAATTCGACTTTCTAGGCACTTTATCGCACCCCAATTTTTCTTAGCATATTTTTTCCAAAAATCAAGCTTTATAGCAAATACCTCCAATACAAAAAGTTCAGTTTTTTGATGAAAATACCCTTCATGTACATAACAAATCATTTTTGGATCTCAATAAAAGGAAACGTTGGACTGCGGTTGTATATTGTCAGACCCATCCATTATGCTGGACCGAAACTGTATACTGTCGGGCTGCCTATTCTAGACACAATTTTCAATTTTGCCGAACCGTAACTCACAAATGTCGGACCGCTCATTAATCCAGAAACAAATGCCGGATTGCCTCTTCCAAACTCCAGACCGCCACGATGAAGTGTTGAGCCGCAATGGTGAAGTGTCGAATGGTTCCAAATCAGTGACTAACCGCCTCTTCCAAACGCCGGACCGCCATGGTCAATGTGCAAGGTAAGGGAGGGGTAGTTTAGGCTCTCTTTTTTATTTTTCTTTTTAGTTGGGGTTATTTGCTAGGAAACATCGTTTTGGGGAAAAAATTGCTAGAAAAAGTTAAGTTGGGGGTAAATTACTTAGAAAGTCTATTTTTTGGGTTTCATGCAATTTTCCCTAAATTTTGTATGGAAGTTTTTTATTATAGATTTACATAAAGATACAATTTCTATTTTTTTGAGGGTTGAGGTTGTTATCTCTTAATGAGTGATTTTAGTGGTATTGATGCATGTGATGCTTCTGGTGGTATGTGGGTCTTTTGGGATCCCATAATTCGTCAGAATTTTGATGTCATTAAAAAGGACAATTTCTTGTTTCTGGGCTTTAATGGCCCGAAAGTGGGTTTTAATTGGGATTTTATATATGTGTATGGGCCCTCTATATTGGCGATGAAAGTAGGTTTTCCATCGGATTTGAATTATATCATTCAGTTTTTCTCTTATCATGTGGTGGTTGGTGGGGATTTTAACTTAATTTGATGGCCAAATGAACGTTTAGCGGGTTCTCCTATTAACAAGTCATATTCGTTTTCTAGGATTGCTGCATCTGAGCATGATTCTTTTGATTCCTTATGAAATTTAGTTCAAATTTATGAATATCTTTAGTTTAAAGATTAAACATGATCATTTTTTAGGACTTCAGTTTTTTAGCACAAATACTTCACAAGCTTTTACTTATTTAAATAATGGTATACCCAGCATCTATATAACATTTTTAGGGCTTTTGCACAGAGATATTTTTAAGCATAGATTTTTCTTGTTTTTGAGGTAATCCATGTGATTTACTTCTTGTGTATCATCCTCAATTGAGTCTAATGGTCAGAATCAGTGGTTTAAAAAGCAGATCGGTGACAAGGATCAGGCATCTCAAAAACCCATTCTGATCGGTGATCTAGATCGGGAATCGGTTGAATCGGTCAAATTAAATCTTAACAAAAATCCAAAAAAATTATTAAAATTCATTATAAATGTTGTTTTTTAGGAATTCAATAAGAAATGAGGGTACTCCATTAAGAATTTTTATTTATTTGCATGAATATGCGAATATTGATATGTTCTTTCCCTGCATGAACTACTATTTACCATTTAATTTACATCATACAAAAGGATGAACATAGAATTATCATGGCTTAAGTATATCATCATACATGGACTACAATAAAACATACAATTCGTAACATACATTCTAAAAATAAAATGACAGACGACGTCGTTCTTCATCTTGGTCACGCTGGTGCCATTGATTAAAGTCGCGTGACAATTCATTGACTCGTTCTAAAAACGAATCATCCAAATTAGTGGGCACCTGACTATACCCAAATCCTTGAGTGTTAGTGTTTTGTTGTGGTCTTAATCCAAAATCCCCAAAGCTTGTCCATCCTTCATGCTCACCTACACTATCGTACTCATCACTACCTTCTTGTTGTTGGGACTCGATATGTGAATAATTTGGCTGGGATTGGGTGGCCTCATAATCATCATCTCTCTCATTTTCCCTTAGGCCCCCTTCTCACTCTCCATCATTAGGTGCATTATCACCGACATCTCCGACAAATTGTAGATATGTTGGTGGGCTGCTTCTTCTTTCATGCTGCTCATCACCTTCTTCAAGATCATCTTCACCGATAGCCTTAAGGAACGCTCTCTTGTGCAACACTGGCTCCTCTTCTTCTACTACCCATTATTCTGCTGTGCATGTGACAAATATTGTGTCCAAGTCTATCGACACACAGTCTTCAAGCTTCCTTCTTATTTGTCGCTCTCGAAAGTTTAAGTTGTAATGAACGTAGACTAGTTTATGAAGCTTCTTTGAAACGAGTCGATTCCTCCTAGAAGTGTCCAACCATTGTAATGTACTCCAGTTTCGCTCCAGTTTCGCTCACAGCCAGTAGCAAAACATGTCTGAGAGAGCACCTTGATTGATATCCTCTTTAGGTGAGGTGCATCACTACCATATATCTCTCACCATTCAGTTGGATTAAAATGCAAACAGCATTGTAAGGGCAAGAACAATTCATAAGATTAAATATATGAATGAACAAAATATTAGTTAGGGATAACCTGGATCAATCTTAGTTCGAGAATTACTGGCAAGTTTAGTTTCGAATGATCCTATAACATCCCTATACATAGCAAGCTAAAACAAAATATTTGTTTTAGTGCATTATTCCTTACAAATATAATAACTCAATCAAGTCAATCAAGTTCTTACCCCAATATTAAATAATACCTATTGTATTACTGCTACCTGGTTTCAATGGCTTCTCTCCAACCTAGTAATAATATATCTGACCCATTCCATAATCTTGTGGGGATGTTCAGGTATCAAATAAAAAAAATTTGGGTTGAAGTAGTAACCTAAAAAATATATAGATAGAGAAATGTCATTTAAAATTTCATAAAAAAATAATTTATAATGAAACATTCTAATGATATAAATATATATTTACCCGAATAATGAATTGGACTTCCAAATATGGTGTTCCACCTTCTTTCTATAATATCGATCACTTTACTAGCAAAACTACACTTCTCCCCAATAGCTGATTTGACCCTCTCGATACCTTCATAAAGGATGCTCATGGTAGCTTTCTTGTCAGCATCCACCATTCTTAACACTGTGACCAAAGGGGCAGTGGCCTTTATGATACTGGAACATTGAGATCAGAACCTCCTATTTGAGATTATGTCGTCCACTTTTAGCCCGGTACTGGATTTCGAGAGGCGGTCATTAACCACTCTTCATTGGTAAACAATCTCTTTATTGCACCTTCAGATTCCCGAATGGAGTTCACAACCAAGTAATCTGTCGCAAAGTGGGTTATGGCAGGCCTGATCTTCGACTGTTCTCTGAACAAAAATAAAATTTTAGAATGGTTATATATAAATCTTGACACCAACCTCGCTTCTTGTAGAGTCTCCTTCACAATTTTGATCTCACCGATCTCCTCTAACATAAGATCAATGATGTGTGCAGCACACGGGGTCCATACTAGATGCTTCCTCTTATCTATCAACTTGCTGCCTGCAGAAACACATGCACGCGCATTGTCCGTAATAAACTGGACGACATGCTTATCTCCCACCTCCTCCACTATCTGATCATATAATCGTACGTAGAAGTTTGCATTCTTCTTCATCCCTGATACGCCTTTGCTAGACAAAAAAGTTGTACCTTTTGAGGAATAGGCCACGAAGTTTAAAAACTCTTTTTTGCTAACTTTATTCAATCAACCATCACTCATGAGAGTAATGCTTGTTCTTGACCAACTATGTTTATATTCTTCAATCAACTTTCTAACTTCCTCCACCTTTTCATTTAATACTAGCCAACTGAGCTCATATATCGTCGAGGGTTTTACCCTGGGCCTTGCTTTCTGGATTGCGTTGACCATAAGTGGAAAATATGGGCCATTGGCTGCATCAAAGGTGATCCCTTTAGCGTAGAACCATTTACCAACATATCTACCCAACATATTTTTCGTACCTTTCACCATGTCTTTGAGGGTCATCTATTGTGACTTAAGCTTTGAGAGAAATGGGTATACGGCCATGACCTGGAATACTGACACTCCT